TGGAATGTGCGTGTGATCCCCGTCAGGAAGCTCTCCACCTCGCTGGTCGAACTGTATCGCTCGTCCATGTCTTTGATGTGGCGTTCTGCTTCGTCTCTGATATCTTGGCTTTCCCTTTTCTCCTCGCACTCGGGGCACTTCCAGGGAGCATCGACTCCATCCCGTGGTTCCAGAAACTTGTCTGGGCACTTCGGGCAGCGTGGCGAGGAGTAATGAGTGCCAAGTTCAGTGGGATCTCCACATCGGCGGCACTTGCAAGAGAAGAAATAAACGTTTCTGAAGTCAAATTGCCTCTCCCAAAGAGGCTCCTCCGGCGGCGTGTAGCTAAACACGAGCGGATCTCCTTTCTTGATGGCTACAGCCGTGCGGATATAAAGTACATTATTAACGTCGGATCTTATTGTTAAGTTGGGTAAGCACGAGTGATTTAGAAGAGCAATATTAGGGTATATACCGCGAAGATGCTCCCCTTTTGGACCCCGAATGTTGATGCAATTAGTTATCATGATGCCTCGAACTCTGTGCACTGTGTCCGCATCAAAGCCACATTTCAGTACCTCGGTCAGGAAGCGAACACCTGCCATGTGGTAAGGCTCCTGCTGCTCCCGGCGAGCATCCACGTGGCTTTCCATGGTCATAAGACGGTTCCAGCTGGTTGGATTTGCTTCGCGCAGGAGAAGACAGCGAAGGACTAGTATCATGTCATATCGTGGCGTGACGTCTAAGCTGGTCGGAGGTCCGATCTGCTTGACGTCCTGCGCCAGAATGCCACACTCCTTCACGTGGAGGTCCTTCTGGTGGCACTCAGGGGAGCACATGGGCCAGAAACATCCGGGGCAACGACAGGACTCCAGGTCTGTGATGGCCGAGTGGCAACCCAGACAAAGTGGGATGCACGTGCCAGTGGGGCCGCAGACTACGGGGCTTTCATTCAAAACCAGCTGACCGGCGGCCAGGTCGCGGGAGGCAACCAGGTACCTGTGGAGAAGAAATCTGAATGCAGTCATGGTAAAACCTTATCAAATGATATCTCAGTTGTCTAAGAGAAAAGAGGGGTTGGGGACAGATAGTCAGACAAATAGAAACAGGAAACAGAAAACAAGATGAAGATGAGTGAGAGAGAAAAGTAGGAGAGGTGAGAAAGCGAGGATATACACAAAACAGAATGAGAGCAAAGAGAAGGGAGGAAGAGTTATAAATCGAAGAGAAGAGCATACAACAGAAAAATAGAAGAAAAGGGACACATATCCTTGCTGGAAAGCAGGGCAGAGAGCGGCACGCGCTCATTACCTTCCTTCTTGGGGGTTTTCGACCTGTTTTATGGGCCTGCACTCCTCCCGATGCAGCGCCCAGTGTTTGCGCTGGTGGTCTCGGCAGCAGTAATGCACGTTGCTGCATCCGCCGCACCTGAGCTTTGCAGCTGTGCCACAGACTCCGCAGGCTCCCTCTTCTCCCGTCATCCGTGATCTGTTGTGCCACCGCAAACATGACATAAGAAAATCGCAAGCTCTTACAGGAAGTGGTTATTTTACATCCTTCTAAATTAGCCAAAATTTCAGAAAACGTGTAATTAATGAAATTAAAGTTTTAGGAGAGAGGATAGAGTGAAAGTTGTTTCAATACAGCATTTTGTGTAGTGAGCATTTACTTGCTCTGCTGAGGTTTCTTTCCTAGGAGTGCCCAACAGGCAAAACGTTCGAGGGAAACAAATTGCACTCTTCCAGATTCCCATCGACTTGAAAAGAAGCTGGCAATCTTTTAGTACAAAAATATAAAATTATATGAAACTTATGTTTGAATAAACATAAAATTTACATGCACCTACAAACTTAGCTTTAATCTTTATCCCATTATAAATATGACCATCAGATACTATACATTACGACACTTACATAGTGTATCAGCAGAGATTGACTATCAGAATAAAAACATTAAACCTGCCCTGTCGTTGCTCTTTCATACTCGAGATGCTGGGTAGCTGTTACGTCTTCTGTATCTTATCAGGAATAGTTCATCGCTTAACCAAATGTAGAATCTTGCCTTACATGCATTAGTCCATTCTCAGCTGTAGACGAAGTCCTCTCACGGCTCGGATAACTTTTTGTCGAGCGTATCACCATACGTTGCTAGACTACAATACACATCCTAGACAAGTATGCTATAAATTCACATATGTAGACATCATAAGGTAACATAGCAATAATGACGGAGCACAGAAGACGGGACAATCCAATTATGAACAAATGTAGTTAGAATGCACAGACAGTTTACTGCTGCTTCCAGTGTGGTATTTCAGAACAGAAATAATCGTTCATATTTATGACTTTCACTTTGTTGTATTTAATAGCTAGGTTCTTGTGAAATTTACAATACAGAAATAGCATGAATCGATAGTACTATTTTCTTCATTAAGCTACAATTTACAGAATGAAGCTATGAATAGCTATTTCTTATTATCGATCATCTGTGCTGTGTTTTCATCAAATATCTGTATCATAGA